CCAAGTAAATGCACCCTGTACAGTCGTAACATAGTATTAGGCTGCATTTCCCAAGTCTTTCCAGTGAGAAACTTGAAAAGATGGCATATGCCTGTCAATCGCTTTTTCAAATACGACACATGAGGGCTCCATGACATGTTTCTGTCGACTATTACACCCAGAAATTTGTGAGATCGACGATATGGTATACTTTGACCATTATTTGAGACGCTGTAATTCGACATGGGTTTGCGCGTAAATGCCAGAAGAGCGCACTTTCCGGAGGAAATTTCCAGGCCTCGATTGCGTAGATACAAAGCAGTTGCAGTAGCAGCTTTCTGTATTTTCGCTCGTAACTTCACGCGAGTTACCGCAGATGTCCAGATGCAGATGTCATCAGCATATGTTTATAGATAAATATTGTTTGGTAGGTGCGTATGGAGAGCGATTAGTGTTATATTGAATAGCACGGGGCTCAGTACACCACCCTGAGATACGCCACGATAACTGAAATGTGTAGACGTGTTCCCGGTCTCTGTACTCACAATATAGGATCGCATTTGGAGATAACTGCGTATCCACTTTAACATTCGGCCACCCACTCCAATCTCTTCTAGCGCGGTAAGGACGGCTTCATGTGTAACGTTATCATAGGCTCCTTTGACGTCAAGGAACAGAGAGGCGCAAAGACGCTTATGGCCTTTCTCGGGTTCAACGTACGTGATTAGGTCGATGGCGCTATCGATCGATGATCGACCACGTCGAAAGCCAGCCATGGCATTTGGGTAGATCTCATGATACTCCAAGTATTACTCGAGTCGGCCGAGTGTCATTCTCTCCATCACTTCACCCACGCAACTAGCCAATGCGATCGGGCGATAGGAGAAGAGTTCCAATGGTGATTTGCCAGGTTTTAGTAATGGTAATAGACGACTAGTTTTCCAACTTAAGGGGACAGTGCCCTCTAGCCAACAATCATTATATAGCTGAACTAGAGCTATTCTCGCGCGCTCACCCAGATGACACCGGGCTCTGTAGGAGATTGCGTTAGGTCCTGGTGCGGAGGTACGTTTGCATGAAGCGAGTGCTGCTTTGAGCTTCGGAATGGTGAACGGGAAGTCCATACTGGAATCACGTGGTGGCGGACAACTGCTCCAAAGTGGTGAGCTGCTGATGGCTGTAGTTTGCCCTGATAATCCGGCACAGAAGTCTTCAGCAACGTCCACATCTGGTCGATTTTGGTGAAGGGCTAAGGTCTTGAATGGTGACTTCTGAATGGGCGATGACTGCAAACCTCTAACCGTCCTCCATATCTGCGATAAAGGCTTACGAGGGTCGAGAGACTCGCAGAAAGTAATCCAGCGTTGGAATTCTAGCTTGTCCAACCGACGTTTGATCTTTTTCTGCATACGTCTAGCAGTCTGTAACTCTTCTATGTCCTTCGTGCGCCGGTACCTTCTTTCAGCTCGTCGTCGCAAGGCTCGAAGCCGCTCCAGCTCTATGTCGATGTCCATGATTTTTACAAGGCATGGGATCGTACACACAGTCTCTTTTACAGTGCTCTTGATAGCCTCTTGTAAATCGGATATGTGTTCTTGGCATTGGTCTTCCATACGAGAGCGAAATGTTTTCCAGTCCGCTCTTTCAACCATGTCGCGCACATTAGGAGGCGACAATCCTCTGATCTTGACGTATGTTGAAATGTGATCACTCCCATGCGTTTCTATATCCGTGAACCATTCAGTATGTTTCTCTAGGCTTCGCGAAACAAAAGCCAAGTCGAGACAGCTACTGTATGTGGAGCCACGTAAAAATGTAGGACTGCCATCGTTCAGTAACCAAAGTTGGTTGTCGGAGGCAAAAAAACAAGCTTCTGCCCTTCATGTTGGTATTCTGAATTCCCCATAAAGTATGATGAGCGTTAAAATCCCCTATGATAACACACGGATCAGGAGTTAATGCTATCATGTCTCGTAGTCTTTTTTCATCGAAACGGCTTGATGGCTATAGGTATGCGCCAACCACAGTGATGTTGAGCCTCCTCTTTTCCACTCTTAAGCATACGTATTGGTTTCCGTCATGAGGTGGTGCAGGTTGAAAGATGTAAGTGAGGTCTCAGCGAATGTACACCAGAACCTTGCTGCTTTCAGTAACAGTGGACGACATAAAAGGTTCGTATCCCGAGAGTCATATTGCACTCGATAAGTTCGGCTCACAGATGACGATTAAGGGAAACATATTGACGTACACAAATCGACGAAAGTCACCAATGTGCGATCTCAGTCCCCTGTTATTCCACTGCAGTATTGCTGCTTTACGAACCTCATCCCTGAAAGACAGTGGTGAATTAGCCATGGTCTACTGTAGGGCTGCTAGCACTGGACTAAGCACGTCCAGTACTTGAAGGGCACTTTTGGCTGACGGTGTATTCATGTCGCCTAACAACATGCGAATGGTGTCCACTAATGATCTTAGCATCACCATCACGCGATGATCTAGCTTCCCGGCCGTTGCAGCATTTTGAGCTTGTTCTTAAGGCGGCTTCTGTTTAGGCTCAACAGATCGCCTAGGCTGAAGGGGTGGCCATTCCTTTGAAGAGAGAGATCTTCCAGCATTTTCTCTTTCAGCGCAAATGTTTGCCGTGCTAGGAGCCGCGTCTGTCGATTTCCCTTGAGTTTCTGACTTTCTCGTCAGATTTTACACTGTCCTTCGTGAAGACCTTCGGCGATGACGGCGCCTTCGCCTTACTTTTTGCGCAGCTTTTCTGTGAGTCTAGTTGTCTCGCAGCATTTGCCTCGGAATATAAATTTCTTTCTTAATCTGAGAACAGTCCTTAGAGGAAGCACTGTGAGCTTCTTGGCAGTTGGGGCATTTCAACGTAGTTGCATTACAGTCGTCTTCTAAGTGGTGTTCAGCGCATCGGGGGCACTCTGCGGAATTTCTGCAAACGCCCTTCACGTGGCCAATCTTCTGGCACTTGAAACACTGCATAGGCTTCGGAATAATGGGGCGAACCTGGTGACGGAAATGGCCAACCTTCACGTAAGAGGGAAGACAGTCACCCTTGAATGTTATTCGCACACAACGAGAGTTGCCTAGGCGACCAGCATGCACAATGACGTTGTTTTCACTCACTGGTTTTATCAGTACAGGAATATCTTCATTGGCGATTTCAGTGTCTATGTCATAGATAACTCGTGTTACGGTGTCACCATTCGCTGGTATGATGGATCGGAATTTGATGTTTCCCAGCTTCGACACATGCTGTAGCGTGTTCAGTGCACTCGGGTTCCTCACGTCGATTGCCAAAATACTCTTACTCGTGTTTATCCTGATGTCCTTAATCTCGTTAGGCACAATGTTTTCAAGTACAAGGACAGTGCTTGCCTGTTGAGGAAGCGTAGATTGGCAGTAGTAGTCTGCGGCACAAACAGAATGAAGTGAGGCCATCGCTGAGGCGCTGTCCTCAGAGTAGACATGTAGACAGAGAAAGCCATGATGCAATAGCCTCTGCTCGAACATGAAGCCTAATGTGTGCCAGGAAACACAAAAGTATGGTGTGAGAAATTGAACGTATTTCTTAAAAAACAATATTACCTTTCTGCAGGGAGCAGGCTTACAAGGTCCCTCTAAAATGCAGCTTAAAAATGTACACTCAAGTATGTCTAACACGCGTCTTGAGTGTGATTGTAATCGTGTGAATGGCGCTCGACAAGACTGTGTCATCACACTCTGCAGAGGCTATTTTTCTCCACAACACTGAAGTCATCTTTATTCTTCATGGTGAATTTGGTCTCAAATGGGAATATATACACATTTTGTTACAAGACGATAGAGCAAGGGCCTTGAGTATCTTCGAGCTTTCTAGAAGGTGATATATCATTGTTATGGACCACAGTGTGTACCCAAAAAGATAATCTGGTGAAAAAGCTGAAGTGTGGGAAAATCATGAGAACTAACTAATGAAAATTCGCTTATAAACTTACACTTCTTTTCTTCAGTGTAGGGTATATGTAATAAAAAAACTGACAGATATCACGTACCTTGGGAATCAATAATATGCAACGCATGCGGAGAGAAGGTGACTTCCATGTAATTTTTTGGGGTGACACGTAATAAAATTACGCTCAATATATCTACAAATGTTGCGCGCAAAGACATCCTAGTATGTGAAACAGTTCCTGATGCTTACATAACTAGAAGTTTTCAATGTCACAGTGATGCCTTCAGGAGCATGAGTATTAGCAACTCCAGAATTGATAGCCTGATATGAGGCGCTGGTGCTTGTGAAGGTGCTAGCCCTGGACAGTACTACGTAAATCAACTTCAGCAAAATTTACCTATCTGCAATTGACGTTAGCCTGACGTGACGGCTGCATGATAGGAGTACATGTATAATGTTTATAAAATTGAATAGCCTCCCCCTCCCCCTAACACTGCAACCGCAATAGACGTTTCACAAACCCGTGGTGGACTTAAAAATTGTTTGAGACCTCGCGTGGCTCTGTGGTAGAACACTTGATTGCAATGCAGAATGCTGGAGTTCTATTTTTGCTGAGACCTTGATAACTATTGTATGCAATTGTTGGGTGAACGTTGCCTATGTGGACTTTTTCTTCATCTTCCCGCTCACACCTTAAAACTACCCATGCGTGTTGGTGGTGTTCCTGGGTAGATACTAAGTTTTTATCATCTGTGGCACATACCCGCATACCAGTGGCACATAACCAGTCCCGGGTATGTGCCACTGTTTTTTGAAACGTGTCTGAGAACGTACGCTAAGATATTGTAACATTATTCATGTCATGACTAGTAAATTGCATTCGCCAAACAATCTCACCCTCCCATACTAATATATATATATATATATATATATATATATATATATATATATATATATATATATATATATATAGATGGATAGATAGATAGATAGACGCCAAAATTGTTTGCAGTACGCAAAGAAATGCTCCACATTCGAAATGTCCATCAGCCGGCCAAACGTAACAACAGTTACCTACCTGTGGTTCGATAGTACCAGCCGATACTATGTTCTCCAGGGTTGTTGCCACGTACAGCATATCTTGGGCACCAAGGATTTCACTGTTCACTGTGAGCTCTTGAAGGCGTTCAGCAGTGGGAACGATGGTCGCGTTGGTTACTACTTTCTGGTTTGGCAAGAATAAAAATTTAAAGTTTTCAGAAATTTTTCGTGATCACAATTACCATTTTTTCGTCATTTTTGTCTATGCAAGAAAGTTTTTGCAAGGATTGCTGCTGGCAGGAAAGCATTTATCAATACCTCAGAAAAACTGACACTGAGCCTTTCTTTAGTGGTTGCACATACGACAGGTTCTGGAGAGTTTTGCGCATTACTGAAAATTTCCTACCTAATAAAATTTCGCGAAAGTACAGTAAGTACTTATATATTCTTCAGCTTAGGCTTCTGAGTATTACATATATAATTTTATTAACGCACTGCTCTTAAACCTAGCAAACGAAGCATAAGTACCAACTGAACTGGCTTTTTGAGAACTTTCCTACGTTGACAAAATATTTCACAAAATAATTAATAAATAAGCATTTCATCCAACGCGAATGGAGTGGGGAAGTGATAGGACCATTACTTGCCATAGAAAGGTTTCTGAGGCCTATAGTTGTTTCAGATACAGGACGCTTGCACATTCCTTGGATACCCCCCCAGTGGGCCCCTGTTGTGAAGTCGCCTTCACAGCGCCGTACGACAGGTTGACCATCTCCTATAAAGACATATGAAAGTGAACTCTTACATGAATACCTTCGGTGATTATGACGTCAGAAGCAGGCTACAGTGCATTTATTTTCAGTCCCACGTGCTTACCAGTTGACGTCGAATAACTATGAATCGCAGCGGGGCGACAATAATAAACGGGGAAAAAGGGTCAGCATCACCGGTTGCTACCACGAGCAGATAAAAATGTGCTGCCACTCATTGTGACAATGAATGCTATGTGACACTATCCCACTCATTTTACTGCCGTTGGTTGTCATCAAAAACTCAATATGATAATAAGATCTGGTATGCCAGTGCACTAGGGTGACTGAGTTTCCACAGTACAAGGGCCACTAGCATTTCCCCTCAAACGAAATGTGACCATCTTGGCTGGGATCAAATCAGTCCCCACCAAGCAAACAGGATAGCACCCTAAGTGCTAAAAAACCAATACGAATATCACAACCTCTAGTGTTGGCCTGCGTGTTGTGTTGCCGATGTTATGTACAGGCTGCTTCAAACTTAAAAAAATCTCAGAGCGCCTGGCATTGTGATGCGACTAACATTGTAATTGCGCGTCGGCAGCAGCTCACGCGTGCGCAGACGCTTCAAGGCTGTAGAGTTAAACCGCGTCGCCTGCTTCGACAAGGCGCGTGTGGAATTGTCGGCCAGCACACAGCTATCATTGTTAATGCGGGAACTGGGCCGATGCTCTGCACAAATCTTTTTCAAAAAAATCTGCGCCCCAAGATGGAATACGAAGAAACAAGGAAGGATAACCTCACACATGTCTTCTTTCTACGTGTCCCGTCTTAATGCGCAGCTTTTTCAGATCTTACCATACAAACTTTCTCAACATTAATGCTTGTCTGCACTAAAAATTGCGCAATGCCAACCTCTCAGCCTTTATTCGTAATAATGGCGCATTAAAAAAGTATTCTACAGAACCTTGTTTGCTCTTTAAAAATATCGTGATACTGTGTTCGTTAACGAATATTTCTTGATTATGTGCACTCCGCAGTGAGCTTTGATTAGGAAGACACGATACTGAGCATGCACCGTGTGTTTTCTTTATTAGACTTTAAATGAAACAAAGCACTTAGTTGTGACTGCTTAGCAGGTGAACGTGTTCAACACAAGAAAACGTGTGGGAATGAATTCAGGAGTTATTTAAGATAGAACAACTACCTGAACGTACTTATTCTCGACAATATTTGATCACAACAGAAAAGAACTACTCCCGGAACCTAGATACACTCGTCACGCTTCAAAGTTTATGTCCGCAGTGGTAGTGATTATGGCGCTCATTCTAGACGGCAGTGAATGCATGGTGTCAGCCATGTGTTCCGCCGCAGCATGTTTCATTTGTTTACAATTGGAGCGTGGCTTCACAATATGCAGATTGCGCCGAGTAAAATGGGCTCATTTGCCGTACGTTTTCCAATTTTGCTTATCTCAATAGGGGGGTGGGGTACTGTACTGTTCGCCTGATTTAACATTTTGCACACACCTGAAAAAGAGCAACCTACAATTAGTGAACTTTGTTGTAAAAGCTACATTAAATTTCGGAGCCGGCTAGCGAGTCTTGCGGTAATAAAATGTCGCCGTAGAGAGACAGACCCAGACTCTGTCCTTTCTTAAAGCATTCTTGAATTTGTTTCCATTTGTTTTATCGTGGTTAGCCAGCGCAGCAGTATGAATCTTAGTGTACAATGCTTTTTCGTTTAGAGTGAAATCAAAACAGCGCACATTGCGTGCTAGTTGTCGTGTCTTCCTCGTCCTAGCGTACTGCGGTGCATACACAGTGAAGAAATATGCATGAACGCACACAGAACCAAGGCGTTTCGACAAAGAAAACAAATTATGCTGTCAAATTCTGCTTGTAGCACCCCATTATCACAAATAAAAGCTGAGAGGTTGGAATCGCACAACAATTAGTGAAGACTATCGGCCAACTTCCTGCACAAACAATGATATCCACGCGCTCGTCAGCAATATGGCAAGCAAGAGTCACCAGCAGATGACGCGGTTGAAAACTGCATTCCTGAATCATCTGCGCACTCTCTAGCGGTGAACGGCACATGGTTGCAGCAATGGCCACGCGCTTCGATATGATGCAATGTGCATCGAGATTTACCCTGAGTGTGACACAGCTTGTAAATTGAGTCGAATCACTTTCTCTATACTTAACCCGGTGAAAGTACACAAAGAACCGTAGCCCATCACGATAATAAAGCCTTCAGTATAAAACCACGCAAGCAAACTAAAAACAACAAATATAAATATGCCCCCCCCCCTCCAAAGGTGGCCAAGCTGTTTGATATTACTTATTCAGAGCACACGCGCCTGAAGAAATGAACAGAAGCTGGTGCAGTACATCTCATTTCGGCTGCAACAGTGCTTTGGTTCTACAGCAGCTTTTAGGAGGGCTCGCCGTCACAGACAACCTGCTAAGTTTTGTTGAAGTAATAGGATTGCGTCAAATAACAAACAGGCTCTAAGAACTAGCGCCTATTTAAACGTAATGAAACAGTGCCCTTTCGCTAAATATTCGTTTGCAGTAGACACACTGGTTCAATTTTGTAGTATATAGATATACACTACTTTACTTACCTACCTACTTACCTATCTATCTATCTATCTATCTATCTATCTATCTATCTATCTATCTATCTATCTATCTATCTATCTATCTATCTATCTATCTATCTATCTATCTATCTATCTATCTATCTATCTATATATATATATATATATATATATATATATATATATATATATATAATATATATATATATATATATATATATATCATCTTACGATCTTGTCCTTCCCTAGCCACTTCCTTAATGGGATGTATCACAAAACGCACTTGGCATAACTTCAGTGTATGATGACTACAAAACATTCGACAGATTCCACGTACCTTAGCAATCGATGTTATGCGAAGCATGTCGATGGAAAGTGACTGTCCTGTAGTTTATTTGTTGAGTGATAAGTTACAAATTGGCGCTAATTATATGTACAACGATGTTATGTGAAGTATGAGGATGGGCAGTGACTGTCCTGTAGTTTATTTTTTGAGTGAGAAGTTAGAAATTGGCGCTAAAGATATGTTCCAGTTCAAAATCAAAGTACGTTAAACATATCTAATGTTTATAAAGTCAGATAGCCAGCACTGCAACTGCAATTGACCTTTCAAGATCAGTAAGGACTGTTTGAGAAGTGGTTTCCGAGACCTGGCGTTGTGCTGTCCTAGAATACTTGATTGCCATGTAGAATGCATAGTATAGATTTTTTCTCGGACCCTAACATTTCTACTTCACATTCGTCGGGTGAACATTGCCGATGTGAGCTTTTTCGTAATGCTCACGCGTTAAAATACCTGTCTGTTACCACCATTCCTGGATAAATGTATAATGTCAATCTCCTGTGGCAGATACCCTTATACCTGTGACACGTACCCACTCGCGGATATATGAGAAACATCTAGCGGAAAGTTTGACGACTTACGCGACAGGTTTATGAAGTTACTGATGTCGCGAGCAGCGATTCGTATTCGCGAAATCATCTTACCACTCTATACTAATTTAGGTTAACCCCACAGTTAAGGGGGGGGGGGGGAAATCACGAGAGGTGTAGGCGGCTAGATAGATAGATAGATAGATAGATAGACAGACAGATAGATAGATAGATAGATAGATAGATAGATAGATAGATAGATAGATAGATAGATAGATAGATAGATAGATAGAGTACGCAAAAAATGCTTGGCATTTAATGACAAGACATTACAATCATGCGATTCCTGAACGACATGATTGAAATGCAACATTCTTGGTGCTCTTGCGGCCACTTCGCTAACTTGATATGTAGCAAAAACAGTTTGACATGAAACAGCTGTGACGCGCATCAGTGAGACGTCCAAACTTGTAAATAATGAAACATAGGTCAAGTACAGCGTGATTTACATGACCTGGTCACGGGCTGCTCTTGACTGTCTAATTAACGATATGGATTTCAAAATTGGTACGACATAACGCGACTGCTGGGCGGACATAGTTGACAAATCATCACATGAAAACTGTTACACCCAGGACCTTGCTGTATGACTTACATGTTATGGTCATGGGACGCTGGCAGCCTGAACTTGCTCGACATGTACCAAAATGAATGTTCGGTGACGTCACTATATAATGAACCTAAATGGCAGATAGTAACACGACAATCAAGGCATGAATGTCATGTAAGATGTGACTTTCATACCACGCTTATGGTTCCCTCAATGCCATTGTGCCAGTGTGGCATCTACCAAATTTGATATTCCGTAACGTGACTGTATAACGAACATGATAAAAGCTGGTAACTTGAAAATCATTATATGAAGGAAGCGTGCAATCTTATTCACATGTCACGCACATGAATTTCTCATGAAGTAGATCAATTTTCGGCTTGATGTACGCATAAAATTAATACTGGCTGACGTGATAATATGGTGAATAATAATGACAGGTGGTAACAAAAAATAATGATGTGAATGTTGTGTGTTACATGATTTTATGTCAAGTTCATGGCACGCTGGTGACCGGTTAGCTCAGTTTATATACGCAGACAAATTCTATATTGCACAACATGGCAGTATACAAAAAAGTATTGATAGGTCGTAACATTAACTTCACGAAAAGCACGTTAATAGGGCACAAATATGAGCCTTAATTGTGCGTTCGCGGCTGGCTCACTAGATAGGTTTGTGCAAAACGTGATATTGTACGACGTGATTGTATGACCATCAATACCAGCAGGTAGTTATAAAATATATTGACATATAAGTGTATGCAAATAATAAGATTATGCAAAGATAATACATGTATTTCTCGATCATCATCTGCTTATAAAGAATGAAAACAATAAGCATTGATTAGAACGTTTCAAATGGGTCACGTCCTAATTGCGAAATTCTGAACAGCTTGTTTCTATGAACAATGTCTCGAAAAGCTTAGACATCCTGTCAGACGGACCACAGAAATCAATCTTCACGTCATTTTCAATTATTTCTTATATACTTCACTCTCTTTCTAGCGAAGCCTAATTCATTGAAAAAAAGGCTCTTCGCACTCAACTTTTCCATGTAAATGACTCTAACTCGAAGTGAAAGCCACATTGATGTCACTCGCTCAATTGAAGGAATTCAAGCATGGTGCTCTCGATTGGCATGGCAGTAAACGTAAATAAAACAGTAGCCATAAGTTTAGCAAGTAGGAAAACCCCTCTTAGTTTTTGTTACAAGTAAGGCAATTTGGAAATCACTGAAAGTGATCATGCAAAACGTTTTGGAGTTTAGCACAACTACTACCTTGTAAGCAACCGCATGAAGTGGCTATTTCTTTGACCGTACTAAGCCATATTTCATGCCCCAACGCGGTGGTCTAGTGGTTATGGTACTCGGTGGCTAAACAGCAGGTCGCGGGATCGAATCCTGACTGCGGCGGCTCTATCCTCGATGGAGGCAAAAATGTTATAGGCCCGCGTGATCATAGTAGGGTACTCGTTCAAGAAACCCAGGTGGTCAAAATTTCCGGAGCCCTCTACTACGGCGTCTCTCAATTATATGGTGGTTACAGGACGTTAAACCTCATATATAGAAGCCGTCTGTTATAAAAAAAAAATCTTCGTAACGCACTACCGACGGAACTCTAAGTGTTTATTGGACGCTATACTAACACTTGAATATTGCGAATATTTTGAAGTCGGTATCGAAAACTTTTTCTTAAACAAATTGACCGATTTCACCTTTAACTGTTCGATTTGTTCTTGAGATCACTCCAGGAGTACCAGTGTTACCACTCTACGTAAAAAAGCCTAACTGCAATCTCTTAATCAAGGTGGAACAATCTTTAAACTTAAAAATTTTATTACACGAATTATAAAATATCCAAAGGACAGCATATAGTGTAGCGCCTAATGCACTCCTCAAGATCTAACCACAAGGAGAGAATATAGTTCCCTAAACTGCCAAATGTTTACAAAATTCGTTTGCTTTGCCATCATCAATACAACTGGTGCTCCATGCTATCTCACTTTTCAGGAGGAAATTTGGCTTTCATAGGAGTTTTCTTCTCATAAACATGTCAGGCTCAAATATTCAGGGTAATTTTGCGTTACTGAATGGGGCAAGGTCTTCTTATTATTTTATTGTCAATAAAAACGAGTTCGACTGTTTTAATACTTGTTTTCCCATCCTTTAATTTTTTTTCTCGCATCCGGTACATTTAACCTGTTATTAAGGCTTTTATGATGCAGTCCTGTGACCTCGCCAAATTCAACTTTTTGGGTGAAGAGGAGCGAATGAGCTGCTTTTAAGTATTTTCTCTCAGCCTGCCTAAATTCTAAATATTGGGTAACCAAGGTCACATTGTGATTATTATTATTATTATTATTATTATTATTATTACGAGACAACAACCCCTTGAATAACCAAGGTATAGTACCGACGGAACACGAAGGTATATCGCGCGCACAGCAAGAACGGCCGAGACTCGTCGTCTTTTTCTTTCACACACCATTATTATTATTCTCAATACTTGGAAATTTTAGATGAAGCAATGTGTCAACAGAGTAAGTGTATCATAAATGAATAGCAAGGGCAAACGCGCAACACATAAGCATAGAAGCACAAACACTTTGCTATAAAACACCTTCGTTTCTTCATATGATAACACTAAAAAAGTTCCGTAACAGACGCAAACTTACCTCACAAATTTTCAAACACTGATAGAAGTGCGCTCCTTTAAAATGAAGCTTTTTAACTTTTGGTACTCCCTTTGAATGCTGAAAGTGACCTCTTGAATAGCTAGAGGCCATTCAGAGCTAACAAGATAGTTCTAGCTATTAAAAGTTTTACCGGCGAGTGTTTATCAGTTATTTACAGTTTATCCGAAAAACAGGAACCTATCTGTAGCGTACTGGAATAAACTGGAACCAACATCTGCATTGAACTGCGAAACAACAGAATTAGATGCTCAAAAATAAAAAAGAATAACTTGTTCAAACAGTGTTTTAACACGATTATAGCCACCACGACTATTATTCGAGTTGTGGTTTATTATTATTGGTCACCGTGCTTACGCTACGTATTAACCCTGTGTGTTATCGCACGTGAGCCTAATATTGAATTTTCATCACTATTGCTTACAATTCACCTAATACTGTTCCTTATATTGTGTTCATCATATTCTGTATGCGACACTATCGTAACTGATCTCGTGTATCACTCCTGTGTGCACTAAATATGTCTGCGTTATTAGAAAACAAACTAAATGACATTTCTCAACCTTGCACACAAGGCAATCCTAACTGTGTTTGTACACTTACGAGGGTGAAAATTTCACTGTAGACTGCCATAAAACATGAATTATGAATTTAGCTCACCCTGAATGCATGCCTCTTGTGGAATAGCGACACTTCCAATAGGAGTCACTGGCCACGTCAGTTTCTGTTCCAGACCATTATCCAGCATGGTTGTCTCCTCAAAACACATCTCTGTGGGAAAATAGAAAATTATTAGAAAACACTTAGATAGGGCTGCCACGGTTTTTGTACATGAAGGCAATGTCAAACATCAAGGTAATAAAAGTACACCAAGGATTTGCGGAATAAACAGCACAGTCACACTGCAAGCTGGAAAAGCGGTATTTCAGACCATTTTTAAACACTTGTTGGGTAACTATTACAAGCGCAATTGCACGATCTCCATGATGCATATAATGATAATAATTTTTTGTCTAATAGGTAGGCATTCACAATGCCAACCTTCGTGCTTTTTCGGAGAAGCGTCGTACCGCTTCCCACTTACATGGGAGTTAAGGTATTTATTTGATGCTGTGGCTGACGACGATGAAGAATTATGCCTGAAGCTTTTGTAACAGGTTAGAACTTTCGACGACCCGCTCGTTACGCAATTCGCATTGTGTGACGCTTGATTGTTCCTTTTCTGTTTTAACACACTTCATTACTGATACTAATGCGATTCTTTTCCAGACATGACGCTTACCTAAGGCTAGTTTGCAACGCAGCTTCAAAGCACCGGCCTGGTTATATGGTAGAATTTTGCTGACACGCAAATGATCAAGGGTTCGGATACCATTATCTCCTTTGTATTTTTATTGATTTGATGTTTTTTATTTTATGAAATATTGGTTACGGACATTTGCGGAGACGGGCGCGCATAAATAAGGAGCACGTGACCATTGTTGTGATCTCATAATAGATTATAACTGTAAAATAGTGCCGAGTGTCTTGCATAAATTACCAGTTTTTACACTATCATCATTGCCTTCTCAGGGGGTGCGGCAGCCGATTGTAAGAGTGTACCTGTGTCTTAAAGAGACAATAGACTGAGCCACAAAGCTATCTCAAGTATCTTGTTCTCTTTCTTCAAAGAAGTCTACAGTTCTTTGAATGCCTAAAAATAATCTGTAAATAGACGTAATTCGCAAATTACACGACACAATTTACCGTAATATTTGAATGTCGTATAGAGCTCTGTTATACTTGTTACGAAAACTCAGCTGTAATATTTTCTATTCATGATTACATGGAACTGAGCTGAAGAAGCCAATTCTCTACCATTGCCATTTTTTCTTCCTTTGTTAAGAGTTAGAGCAGCGGTAAGCAATGTGCGTCACTTATATCATTGCTAAGATTCAACCATCTGAGAATAGCGTGAAAAAGTGTGGCAGAGAGACGAGAAGAAATACTCCCTGCCCCGTGGCAGTTCAAGCGTTCCTGTATAGAAATCTACACTTTCGGGATGGTCATCACATAACCAAATTTAAGGTAATTGGTCGTTACACAGTCATGAGCTTCAATGTCATTACCAGCTCTTGTTGAGATCGCAACACTTGCTTCTGATTACCTTCCCAATAATATGTGTAAAAATTATATTTTTATGGTAGCTCTAGTAAAGGAAAGCTGAATAACGAGAAAATTAACAACTGCATGTTATCCAGAAGCCGTTTTTTGTCCAATTTCACTGAATTATGGCAGTGTATTTTATGAGAAATGAGGCTTAGGGCTATGAAATTTGAAATATGAAATATTTAGGATATTCTTTCTCAATTTTAACTCAGTTGAAAGGTCTTACCTGTGCTTTTGATTCTCACTTCATTGAAAAGGACTGATGGAGAAGTGATCAGCCAGGAAGCGTTCCGCATTGCAGCTGATCTGAGATATTGAATGATGTGCGATTCTTCGTCCTGGCTTTCTAGCTCTGACCGCCATGGGAGTTCTACTAAGAATACAAGAAACCTCACGGCATCGGTAGCAGCACTGCAAAAGACACAAAAAGCAAGAAAAAATGAGCCTCATATCATTTCCGTAATGAAACTAAAACGATTTTCCCATTCACATTGTTGAAGCTCTGATTGAAGTGTTACCTTATCATATAAAAAATAGCCGAATAATGCGAAACGAAAGGGCAGACATATCAATGGTTTCTTATCCTTCTAACTGTCTGTAAAAGATCCAATGAGGGAGAGAGAGAAAGTGCAAACATAACACTGACCCTATCTCCATCTTTTTTTTTCAGGCTCGAGTGAAGCATGAAGGCTTGATTCACATACCTTTGTCACTGAGCATGTTTTTCGATTAATATTCTAATGATTGTGCACAGGAAACATCCTAGTTTTAATGAAGTTTAGTCGTACACATACAAAAATATGTCATCCATTCCAATGACACGTGACAAAGCCCTTTAGCTTGTCCGTGTCTTTTTACACATTGGAAGCTCTTCTGCCTTCACTTGCGAAATTTCAGGTGTTTTGTAAGTTTAGCAAGAAAAAAACTGACCATGAATCCTGTTGTAATAACTGTACTAATGTAAAGAAGCACCCAGGTCATCGTCCAAAAAATATTCGCCAGAAATAAGCTTCAGCTAGAGAATCAGTGTAAAAGTGACACCCCTTATTTTACAAAGGGCTAGGGCTGCCTTTCGTGATCGAGGACTCCGGAGGGTTATTTGAATATCAGCACACTTTTTTTTTCTAAAACGTTTTATATTTAACAAATCGATGGCTTCTTGATAATTAGTATGAAAATACTACGAAAATTACTGTTTAGTAATAATACGAATAAAGTTAAAATCTTGTCGTGTTTCTTATGAACCACTTTTCCTTCGTCACATGTGATATGTATGTGTAAACCACCAGCAGCGGTACGCGGATGTAGGGGATTGAGAATTTGTCTACAAAGAAACGGTGAAACCCGAAATTGATAACATAAATGGGAGATCGTCAAGCAAAGTTGACAGCCGCATCGACCCAACGAATGGGAATAATAAAAGTTACACCATCTCCCGTTTGAAGAAACCATGCGCCGATGCGAAGCACTGGGGGCTATCCCTTACACAGTAGGTGGAGTTTACACTCACGTTCATGACGGCGTTGCGCAGGATACATACCTGGGGAGGTTAAAATTACGCAGTTATGAACCTATGTTTCCTACTGAAACGTGCCAATCGCTGCTAATTGGCTAGGAGAGACAGAAGACTCTAATCGAACAGAGACCAACAGTGCAGTTTTAGTTAACGCGCACGCTGTAAATATTTATTTTTCACCAACGTGTACGACAAAACAACTACCTAATGATTGCAAGATCACAAAGGTGATACCGATCCATAAAGGAGGAGACGCAGCACAATTTTCAAATTTCAGACCTATTTCATTGACCAGCACATCATGTAAACTACTCGAACACATAATCTTAAAACACAGGACAGTATTTCTAGAGCACATAAATTTTTTCTCCCCTACCCAACACGGTTTTCGAAGTGGTTTATCGACGGTAACTTAACTTACTGAACTAGTTCACGACCTTGCCATTAGAGTTAATAACCATGGTCTAACTGACTTAATTCTACTTGACCTATCTAAGGCTTTTGACTGTGTATGTTACAGCAAACTAATAGCTAAAGTAGAAAATGTTTTCGGAATAGAACTTTCCGCTTGGATAAGAGCTTTCTTATTTAACAGGTCACAATTTGTACTCTATGAACAGATGTCTTCTGACACAGTAGCAGTAACATCCGGCGTTCCCCAAGGCTCGGTACTTGGGCCATTGCTTTTCTTGATCTATAATAATGATATCACTGCTAACATCACTTGCAACATCAAGCTATTCGCCGACGACTGTGTGATCTATAGAGAAATTAATCATTACAACGATCACATTATGCTTAATGATTCTCCTGCTGTCGTGGCTAATTGGTGCTCTAAATGGCAGATGATAATAAACACACAAAAATCAGGGATAATGACCGTAAGCAGAAAAACAAAACCATCCAACTTCCCATACACCATTAATAACACACGTCCTAATAAAGTTGAGGAACATAAATATCTAGGAGTTACACTGACTTCTGATCTCAAATGGGACAAACACATCGCTAATATAACTTCAAAGGCGCTACGCAAACTATTCTTCTTAAAACGAACTCTAGTGCTCTCAACAACGCCAACAAAGCTGCTAGCTTACACATCATTCGTAAGACCAGTTTTAGAATATGCAAACACTGTCTGGTTTCCGTATTCGCTGACTAATATAACCAAACTAGAAGCAATACAAAGGAAAGCTGTAAGATATATTTACAACAAATATAGACGCACAGATTCCCCAACACATCTTTTAACTCAGTCAGGTTTACAAACGCTGTCCACAAGAGCGAAACACGCTCGCTTAAAATTCCTTTTCCAGCTAGTAAAAAATAACTACAAGATAGATTCATCCAAATACCTTTCATTTTCACAGGCTCGGCAAACTCGCAATAAACTTGCGCGCACGTTGTCAGAATACGCATGTAGGAACGACACGTTTAAGTACTCATTCTTCCCGCGCACGATAGCGGAATGGAACCAACTTGATGCCACTATCACAAACTCCCAATCGCTATCAGAATTTATTGCAAAGATAGAAAAAAATGGGCGCGCATAACAGTTTATACGCATGCAGGCGCACCGGTCCAGATCTGCTGTTCGTTAGTTAAAGCGACACCTTTTTCATTGTTCCTTTCACAGTAGTATAGCTATTTTTGAAGTATGCTTTCAGTGCTTGCTATTCCTGTCACAACTGTTACATTCATGTTTTCCCTCACGATACCAATGCTAACGTAAGTTCCTTTCTTCAATCATGTATTTTATTTCTATCGCCTTTCGGCATGGTTTCAGCTCTGTATAATGGCTATAACTTGCTTTGTATCTTTTGATTATTGCATACATTGTGTATTAATAACATAAACGTTTAACTTCTGTACTGCTCAATGGTTATATGATCCTCATGTCCTGTTATTATGCTTGCATGTTTTTACGTCTACATCCTTTTTGTGTGTGTGAAAAATTACTGTATTGCCCAACTGCCACGCTCTGGACGAAGCGTAGCAGTATTGTAAATAAATAAATAAATAAATAAATAAATAAATAAATAAATTAATTAATTAATATATCTTTCACCGGAACTGCCTTGGAGATGAAGATCAAATGCCTATATATACGGGGTGGCCAGTGAATGTTTGTGCAGCGCGAGCAGTTGGTTTTGCCTTGAAGAAACTCGCTAGCAGACATTGCCTGTGTCGGCGTTGCGAGTTGCGAAAAAGGAGAGCGTAGGAGAGGAGAGAGAAAGGGAGGGTGCGTTAAGCGCAAAAGGAGTGTAAACACCACTGTGACTGATGCCAAAAGTGTTGAGCGAGCGTAGCCTAGCAGGCGCTGCCTGCATCGGCATTGCGAGGTGAGGAAGAGGGAGTGTAGGAGAGAAGAGAGGGTGGAGGAGAATCGCATGCGCAGTAACAGTGGTGACGCCTGACATCACACTGATCTCGACCACATTACTCTTCGCATCTAAAAATTCAGCATCGCAGACGAAATTGAACCGTGATATCCCATGTTGCATTAAGTTAATTTACCCCGTCGCCATCGTCTTGATTATTTGGGTAAAGAGCATGTGCAAAAGATAAGTCACTGCAACGTCGATCGTATTTGCAGGGCTGGCTATCTCATCTTAATACAGGGTTAAAAACATTACTTCTGCAGACGGAGGCTGATTTCGATTCTCTTGAAACGAAAGTATTTTATGCCAGAATCCAACACGACTGTGTTGACGTAATTTCGTCACAGGTATGACGTCTTAGAACATGTACTAACACTTTGCAAAGAAAACGAGAAAAAAAAAGTTCCTATTACAGGTGTTTTCCATGCGACCTCTATAGGTCCCGAGCAGCGGTGCGATACCACTGGGCCACACATTGTGCGTAGGCTAGCAAACTAACGGGTAGCTATTTATTTACTCGATGTACCGTTGGAGTTCTTCAGATCTCAGCGAATTCAGCGCATTTTCGTCATCAGTAACGGGATCACGTGAAGGACGTGTATAGTGCGCACGCGTCTCCCCAGTCCAAGGTTGCTCGTGAGTGAGCGTTTATGTTGTGATTCGGGTGCTGTGTACCTCTTGTGGTTCTACCACAAGATTACTTACAAGGTACAGTTGTTGAAGGCAGCAGGAAGGTCACTTCGCTCGCTGTTGTGGCCATGTTCACGAAAAGGTGCTGCTCCCGCACGAAGTAAGAATGGTGACAATTTTTTGCGCTTACCCCGTGTATACTCGTGTGTTTCTTTCGAGCAGTGCATTATGTGTTTCAGCAGCCCGCCATATGTTTAAGCAGCATGTTACAAGTGGCGAGCTGTGACAATTTGCGCTTTTTCTAATATGCTCATTTCGTGCGTGCTTTCTGCTTGAGGTGCCCGCTGCAAGTTTCGAGCTGCTGGTTGTTATTCGCGTGACATTACAATTTGTTCTCGTAGCATTTTCTTCCTTCACCCTTGTGGCGAAATAATTAGCAAATAAATCTACTTCCTGCCTGGACGCACCTTGCACTTTCTGGTTGTACCGATTTCCAGACAGACGAATAAGCGTCGTTTTTTATCCAAATTACCTGGCAAGAGCATTTCGCCGTTGAATCAACTCACTCCACATTCGAGCCTACTTTAGACGAGCATGCGTCCGCAGCCCTCGCCATTGTGCCACCTATATGTATTCTCCCTGAAACCACACACGTATCAGTGTTTCGTATCAGCGTTTCAGCCAAATGACATCATCGGATAGCGGTCAATACATACATAGCGAAAACTTTCCGCCCGCAAAGAATTGTGAGCTATGGCAATCGTCTGCATTGCTTCCAGTTAGACACGCTGCGCCACCTTATCCAAAATTAAGACGGGAACCGGCAGATAAAAACACGTAGTGGGATAATTAGCGTGAACAATGGAAGTGCCTCAGACAGGCTG